CCTTTTATTCCTTCCTTGATGCACCTCTTTTTCTTCTCTCTCTCTCTCTCTCTCTCTCTCCTCTCTTTTCATTCCAACAACTTATTTAGGCGAAAACCTTTTTCCCTCTCTTAGACACAATTTACGTCACGAGCAATTAACTTTTTTTTTCAGTCCATCAACTTTTTCTAACGCCGCTTCGTTTCAACAAGAAATTATCGCTCGGAATATCGCGTATTCTTCAGATGGATAGAATTTTTGAGGAGTAATTTTTTAATGCAATGTTTTACGATTTTTCGTGATTTATCAAAATATAAATTTTGATTTGGCAGGCAGAGACATTTTTTTGATAGTTGAACCCTCCTCTCCAGCAACTCGACTCGAGGTTAAGATTAAACCCTATTACCTACGATATTTCGAAATGGACCGAGGTAGAAGTGATCACTCGAGACAAAACTTCGGCAAGTGGATATAATTAAAGTTTCTCTCTTCAAAACCTTGTCGCAGTGGCGACTCTTGCCTCTGCAATACCTCCGTCGCATACACTTTCGTACTGCGCTAACAGCCTACTTACCCATTCCGCAAGCGTAGTATCGGCAAGGTTGCACGAACGGTTTCACGCGAGCCCGCACCACCGAAGATTCCCCGATGTTAACGAACGGAAGCGGCGTGGTGGTTGCGATTTCCGGAGGAAACTCCCCGAGATCCGGAAGAGGAGTTGCGTACTGATTTCCTGGATGTGTCGAGGGATTCGATATAACGTATTTTTGCTGTTACTTTTGCATGCAATCGATGATCTTTTAACGCTTGTTTATTGCATCATTCGGTAGGAATGTTTTCTCGGGTAAAAATGTTGGGAAGCGTCGAGATAATACTGTGATGTCGACGATGATTCGAAGAGAAAGTTGTTCGTATTAAATTATCCACAAATTTTTGCAAAAAATGTTACGAAATTTGTTTGCTTCAAAACGAATTTGATTTGATCGTAAAATCTACGCGTTGTTCGCGGTTGTGGATTTTTTTTTTTGAAAGGTCTGGCAAAATCGTTACCGCGAAACAAATCTCGAATCCTATTGGGATTCAATGGATAACTGCACAATAGTTCCCGACCCAAAGAAATGATTACAACTTTTATCGATATTTTTCGAATTTTTGCTCGATTCGTTGATGGTTAACCGAAGAATCGGGGTGAGCGGAAAAAACAGACGCAGGCGCGTTAAATTTTTTTTTTGTTAAAGAAGGAAAAGCTAAAAAAGTGAATGTAAAAGAAAAAAAGAAAAGAAAGAAAATAGAAAGAAGAGGATATCCGGTGTCAAAGAGTTCCGTGGAATATTATTTCTTTTCCTTGTGTTTCTTCTTTATTGAAGGAGAGACAGTTTGGGAGACTTAGAGGAAAGATATTTCAAATTATTTCGTTTCGAAGCGAAATTCGTGTACATGAGAAACTTGCAAAGAATTTCGACCAATTTCGGCGCACAAAGGAACCGAAAAAATACGTTCAAGTCTATTTTTTCTCATGCACAATGGGGATTTAGATTCTGGGATCTTGGATAAAATGCAGGTTTATCTAAACGAAAAGAATTCTTTCGCGCAAAATCTATCGTTTCGACTTATTCGAAATTTTTGAATCAGTATCAAAATTTGAATTAGTATCAAATATGAAATTATTTATTAAAACGAAATT